GGGAAAACATCCAGATGAAGAAGGGGGGAGGGTGATATTAGGAGATTGTGAGATAAGACAACGAGGAATGAGAGGGGAAAGTGAGGGCAATGTTGGGGCCGAGAGAAGAAGGGGGACAGGGGGGATGCGCCCTCGTGTCCTCTCTTGGCGACCACCTTCCGATTTCTTTTCCAAATTCTAAATCGTTCCCGATTCGCGATTTTCCAATTCGGCCGCCGGCAGTTTTCCGCGAATTGCGTCCGATCCGCATGTGGATTGGTGACGACCCCGAGGCAATTGTTGTAGATCATGTTGAGGCCTTTCCAACGGTATGCTGCACGTCTTGATCGGCCAAACTTGACTGAGCGCCTCCGCGAAAGGATGTCGCTCTTCTCGTCCTCCCGAACGGATCCACACGATTTCCAGCAGTTTTTTTCTCTCCTCCTCCCCTCCCACGTCCATAGTCCGCCACGGTGCAATTTTGGCAGCCCTTTCGGGAGCGATGGAAGCTAAATTGCTTCCACCAAGATATTATAGTCCGATGACTTGAGCAACTCCGATTCCAACAGATTGCTAGGCCTTCCTAGCTCTGATACCATGTTAGAATGGTGTACGCTACTAGCGGAAGCTATAGTAGTCTTGTGAACTCCTCCTAAAGCCTAGGAATCGTGAGAGCCAAATTGGGCATGAATCATGCTAGAACCAAGGTGATTTCCAAGAAGTGAAGTTCCAACAAGAGAGAACCCTAACCTATAGGGTTTGGGAGGTGGTCCACTCTAAAGAGTGTACACCACAAGTTCTCCCAACCCAACCAATGTATTCTACACTACTATAGTGTAGACCTACCACCACATATGTTTATTGGAGCAACCCAAATTAGCCTTAATTTCCAACATCCAGGGGTGGCTATCAAAGGTCGCACGAGGAGGAGTGAAGGTTTAAAAAAGCGGCGTAGGAATAATTTATTAGGGGTGGAGGTTCCGTAAGAGGAAGGAGGCAGTGGTATGGGCGGCCATCACTCTTGTTTTGCACACTGAGGAGCCTGCTATGGAAAAAAAAAAAGATGCTGATGCTGAATTGCATGAGGAAAATGGTGGAGGAGTTTCTCACAATGGAGGAGATGAATCTCTTTTGACAAAAGATGCATGTAGTGATGGGTGGGTTGACGAGACTGCAGGATCCAAATGAGTTTTTGAAAAGGGAACGGTGGGGTGACCCACGCCGCTTGTCGCGTGAGCAGAAAATTCTGGGGAATGCATGGTGACACGGCCGAGAGAGAACATGTTAGTGTGTTTGCAGCAGCACCCACCAGCTGCGACAGCCCATTGCCCGATCTTTTTCCATCTCCCTACCTGCTTCTGCATCTACCGTACCTACTGTTGCCCTCTCGTCGCTCCTTCCTGCCTCCTTTCTCCTACAAACCATACAATGCACTTTTTCCCAATTTCAAACCATCCGCCCTATCCTCTGTCTATTTTCGTCCCTTCGTCCTCCCCCGCTCAACCTTATGATTAAGGCTCTCGCCGGTCTGACCCCATTCTACTTTTCCTGCCTTTTCTAACCTCTTGATTGCACCTTTCTTACCATCTATCTGCCCCAAACCTGTTGAGTCTGTTTCTGGCACTTCCCATCTACTGCAGCTTTGTTCCTAATAACCCCCTGCCATTTTTGTTACCATACCCGCTTCTTGCTGTCCTGTGATTCCACCCCTGTCCACTGCTTCTCTCCTTCCTGCCTTCCCTCGATGGGCCACATTTGTCACGTACGCATAGCACACATTTGTAAGCGCCAACTCCTTTGATACTCTGACTTCAAACACGGTGGTGTGGTGTCATTTTCCAGGGCTTTAAAACTCAGATAGACAGACTCACTTTGGCTTCCTCAATCCATGAGATAGAAGATTGTGCGTTTTCATGTAAAATTTGTAAGATTTGCTGGTATACCTTTGCCACTTTGATGGTGTTTGTTCAGATACAATTGTATTGCTCTAACTTTGAATCTCATGCCTTCGCTCGCTTTGATTGCATTGCCACATCCCCCAATCTCACTCCTATGGAGGCACGATGATAATCGGCAACAACTCAGATACTTATAGTAACAGCATCCACACTACTCCCAAACATCAATATAGAGCAGAGTAAGCTCCCACGGCATTGTGTTTAAGAAAATAATTCCAAATATAAATTGTCGTGCTAATATGTGCCTGAAAGTTGCAACAAGCAACCGACAGCACGTGGTGATTTAAATCAGGACTTTCCATTATCAGTTTCTCTACAAAATGTCTCTATACAAGAACACACACAACTCCAATTCTCATGTAGGCGGCAGTAACGCCGTATTGTAGACCTTCTGTTTCCGTTTGAACTGGGATAGAAATGCTTTTTTTTGCAGCGGGTGAGTGAGCCCATAACCCCCCAGGCCAACGCGCCTATAAACCTTCCCTAGTCGACCTCTGACAAGAATTCCTTCATCGCTGGGACGGGGCGTCTTAAGAGTTGAGCCATTCGTTTCGAGGGAGAAGGTGTGTGGGGCGGTATCGCAGTCGTTTGGGGCCGGTTGAGAGGGTTGGGAAGATGTTCCCGCGTCGCCATTCCGCAATGCCTGGAATCTTTGCTCGTGAGTTGAGAGCCATAAGAGTAGTTGTACGAGGGCGGGAGTGCTGATTGTTGTCGTCTCCTCGTTTGTCGCAGCCAGTTTGGCTTGCGTTTCATCGGTCAGATTTGTCTGACCTCCAGATTTTCTGACCATTCTTATGCGCGAGCGCGTGCCAGACGCCACCTTCAGTTCGCTGAAGATTTTGGTGGTTGCGTTGCGAAGGATTTTTTAGTCGCTCTGATACCTCAGGAAGGTTCGCAGAATTAGAGTATTGCAGTGGAATTAGTGACCTCAGATCGGAGTGAATCTAAAATGACTGAGATGATAAAGACCTGTAAATACATTCTTATAAATAATAGTACAAGGGAATACGGAACGTTCTAGCTAGCCATGTACTCTATGGGGTACATTACCTTATTAGAATTAAAACCCAACCGTGCAGCGCGTACAGCTACGAAACTGTTCCCGCCATTTTTCTCACTCCTGCAACTGCCCGATGTCCATCTGCTCCAACGGTCCAGATGCTCCACAACCATTCGCGCCACTCTGACCCTTCGTCTTCGTAATCTCTTTTGTGTTTTCCGTTATTGCTACAGGCAGGAATGCACACTAATGCTCCTGAATTCACTATTCGTAACAGTATGTACCCGAGTGCATGTGTAGTACCTACCTGTTTGGGTGATTGTGGAAGCTACATGCTACACTAGATCCTTCATGTATGGCATGTATGAAGGGCTAGTGAAATTTAAAATAGGTTTTATTATGCCAGTTTTTTTAATTCTTTTTTTTTATTTTGATATCATTGATAAGTATATACCGATACAAGCAAGCATATACCAACAAACGGTCATAACCGTGCGTAAGGAACTGCAGGTGCTCTGTTCCAGGTGAGCTGCCTAGGGCGGGTTGTTGCATGAATACGCTTGGACCAAAGTGCGGTGAACACATTTGTCCACGTCCAACCTCTGCCATCTATCTTGTTCCCACTCAGCATCCTCTTCTCCTCTGCAAGGTTTTCTTGCAAGCGCTTCTTCTGAGCTGCCCCCATTTTCCGCATTTAAATTCTCGTGTGTAGCCTGAAAGCGGACTCTGCCCTTTACAGAACCCGTTGCAACCGGAACTTCTGCCCTTGAAAGATTGCTTCACACCTCTCCAGCCATAGTTGGTGTAGGACCACCGACGTGAGGTCGGCTACGGAAAAGCTGATCTGGTGCCCGTTTTCCGAAGAAGCATGTCACCCAACGAGGCTGTTGGGCGGCTGGGGTTCAGCATCTCAGAGAGCCGAGGTGACCAGTTGTATCCTGGGGCAGAGGAGGAGACAATGCTCCATGGTTTTCTGCTCCCCACAGTGCGAACAGGTTCAATTGCTGCTAAGGAAAGCAAACCTTTCCCCCACTTGTAAATTCAGGCTGTGGATCCGGATCAAGACATCCCGCGAATGGCTGAGAACTGCCATAGAGTCTCGGGTTGTGACCACCAGCTTCTAGTCAATGTGGTTCCCCCAACGCGCTGAACGTATGATTGGCTGTAAGCCCCTTCTAGCCCTCCTTCGTGTACGCGGTGAAGGAGTCTACTCCTAGAGGAAGCTTCGCAACCTGTTCCATGAGGGAATTTTTGAGCGGAATCTTTGTGCCGCCAGATAAGTGATGAGTATCTCGGGGTCTCTGACTCCGATACCTCCGTCCAACCTCGGGGTGTAAAGCAGCTCCCTACTCCAAAGTGCAAAACCCTTCGCACTCGCCACTCTGTTTCGTGAAGTGAAGCTGTGCAGTAGGCGCGTAATCTCCAGCCATATGTCTGCCGGTGGTGGAAAGATTTGGTGGAAAGATTTGAGCCTAAAAGGCTAAAATCGGCGAGATGTAAAAAATTGACCACCGTTGCTCTTGCTGTGATTGTCAGGTACTTCAGTTGCTACTTGGTGAGTTCTTCGGATATGCGGCTCCACGCCTTCTCCCAAGTTGGCCGACCGTTACCATACGGCATCACCAAAACTCCTAAAAGACGCTCCGCTTCGTCCGCGCGGGCCCATTCGAAACTTCCTGCTCCACACGCGCCGATGTTGGCACCCAGAGGTAAGACCACAGACGTTGATTTGTTTGTCGCCAACCCCGACGCTTTCTCTCCAGAATATCTTCCGCCTGACCAATTTGCTCCTTCCCTTGCAGGATAAGCGTCGTGTCATCCGCGTAACTGAGGTACCCAAGCCGATGCCCGTCCTTCTTAAGCCCAAGCCCCTTCCTTTCCACCTCCCGTGCGAGCGGCTCCACAGCACATAGAAAAGGGTAAGGTGCCAAGGGACAGCCCTATCGGACCCCTGACACCACATCCACGCCTTCATCAACCCAAACACTGATCAACGGTTCAGTCTTTGTTCCCTCGTGCAGGCCTTTCACCCTGCCGACAAACCGCTTTGGAAAGCCTATGGACTACAGCACCTGAAACAAGAAATCTCTCGAGACAGAGTCGAATGCTTTCTGGAAGTCCACCAGGAGCATGTACCAGTCATTGTTCCCGTTCATCGCGCCCTCGATAATATCAGCTACCAAGGCGACTGCATCCGACAATCGCTTCCCTGGTATAAAACCATACTGCTTTGGTGAGATGACCATATGACGCACCGTCTCCATCTGGTCCGCCACAACCCGAGCGAGTACTTTGTATGCAAACTTCAGCAACATGATTGGCCGATAGTTATTCAATTGCTCCTTGTCCCCTTTCTTGTGCAGCGATATCGTTAACGCCTCCTTAAGTTCAGCTCGCAGCGATGTAGTGCACTCGAAATCATTAGCCATGGTCATGAAACTTTCCCCTAACAAGTCCCAATGTGCTTCAAACAGCTCCTTTCGGAGGCCATCGCTGCCCGGTGATTTGTTACGCGCCATTGACACAAAAGCCTTTCTCACCTCGTGCTCTGTCCACTCCGCTGTTAGCGTCTCAGCCACACACACATCCAGGCGACAAGAAGGGGTGAAGCTCCACTCTGTGCGGTCAATCTGGCGATCCTTTTCGAAGATGTTCATAAAGAAACCAGACGCCGCCGCCAAAATCTCCTTCGCCCCAGTGATCAACACTGAACCCTCTTTCACCTCCGATATTTGCGTGCGCACTTATCGCGCCTGGATCTACGCCGAAAGATTCTTCGAGGCGATCTCCCAGGTCAGCTCCGCCGTTGAATCTGCCTGTAAATGTAAGCGGTCCTTCCTGGATGCCTGGTACATCTTCAGCTGCACCTCCTTCGCCCTCAGCAGCTCCTTGGTCCTAGAGCAGTGCGGGTTCCTCATCAACTCCTGTGCCAGAGTTGCGACTGTGTTAGTCAGATGAGCCACTGTTGCTCAGACCCGCTTGCTTTCCTCCTTAGCATATGCCCTGAGCCCAGTCACAATCCGGGGTATCTACCGGATACAATCACAATCAGATTGGCATTTTAGCTCATACATAAACATATGCCCGTGGCCGTATGAGCATATGCTTTAGATACGCTCTGGAGCATATGTTCCCAAGTGTGATACGGAGGCATATGTTCCAGATTGGACACTTTGATTGCTTCAGACTGCGCAAAAGCAATCCATTAGGTATATGTTCTTGCAGAGCCCAGTCGCAACACTTCTGCTGTTGCTGAGCCCAGGACGGTGATCTTTCTCACCCCCCAGTCTGTTTACCATCGAAGAATCTAAACGCCATAAGCTAGGGCCCTTGCAGGCTTTCTCATCCAGACTAAAGGCGACCATCACTGCAAAGCTGTGATCTGACACGGATTCGTCTGGTTTGAAATGCGAGGCTACTGTCAGGTGAGGCAGTAGGGATTGCGACTCTAAAGCTTTGTCTATTCACGTGCTGACACGTTTGGATTTGGAATAGAAGGTGTATTCTCGGCAACCTGGATGAAGTATGAGGAAGGCGTCAGACAGTTGAAAGGTCTCACATCTCTGGAAAAGTTTCTTGTTTTCATTGGACACTCCCTTGCCTGATGATTTGTCAAGCTTTGTATTCTCTACGTGGTTGAAATCTGAATCATCAAGACGTGCTCCGAAGCCGGGATCTGGTCTATAAGTGGTCCGAGGGAGTCTCTAAGGAAGGTGGTTATGGAATGTGGGTTTGAAGGGAAGTAGGTCACAACTAAAGTAAGATCCGGTCCGTATCCTTTGGCTGTGGTCTTAAATATCCTACCTGATGGATGAGCTAAAGTGTCATGGAAGGTAATGGATGGGTTGCAGCAGAGGATGGCTACACCGCCTGCTTTGGAGCGAGGAGCTGTGGCTAAGACTGTATAAGTGGGTAGGCTTTTCCAGTAAGTATGGTCTGCGTCTATCCTGATGTCTACTAGCACTACAAAGTCTCCTGCTTGGTTGTACCAACTGTTTACTCATCTATGCTTTGCTCTGTCTCTTAATCCATTGACATTGAGGCTCTAGATGGCGAGGTGGGTTTTCTTAATCATGGTTCCACTGACTTGCTGCCCCTGATCATCCACAGGCTGATAAATGAGACAGTACGGGTGGCACTAACTCCTAAACACCAACAGGCTGCTGCATCCAGGTAACACTCGAAGACCATCACAAACCGTACTCCTTGCGGATAACATCGAGGTTCAACTTGCCTAGTGACTCCTTCGTGGCGGAACCGGCCTTTGTTAGTTCTTGCAGATGCGCAACTGCAGAGATGTGATAAGCTGCTTCTATGAGACTCTTCCCTTTCGCCTTCCCACAGCCCATTTGCGTGCAGATACAGTCTTCCCTGCTGCTGCCGATGGAGACGAGAGCAATAGCCGGATCGCAGAGGATGGGGAGAAAAAAACGAAGACGCTTTCAGCAACGCAGCTTCGGAGATTCGAAGACAGGTTAGTGCGTGAGAAAGAGAGGCGAAGCGGCATGCGAGCGCAAAGCTGGCTGCTGCTTTTATCGTTATGTCTGTGCACTTTGCCAAGAGTGGGGTGTAATTTACTGACATTATTCTGACGCTCAGTGACAAAAGCATCATAGTATTTATCATAATGCTTGCCGCCACAGAGCGAGAAGGATAAGGTTGGAAAATGAACGAGGAGCTACTTCGCCTGGTCTTCAGAGTCAGCAATCATGTGACTCCAGCGACGGGTACCCTGTTTTCCAGGTGAGTGTAGACCAGACCCTTCACAGCATCCGTGTCAGCTCCAGTAATGGGATGAAGCAAGCGATGTAGATAGGTGCAACGCAGGAATGGTGACCGTTTACTGCTCTTGAGCGGGTAAGTAGCCAGACGGTCGTGAATCATGATCAGCTCAACAGCAGCAGAGACTCACGTGAACTTGAACTCTATGGCGTGCGGGTTCATTGTTTTCTCGCGAGCGAAGGTCGGGTCATCGGTATGTTGCCAGTGTAGAGTAACCAGTTGACCCTGATTCTTGAGAGGTTGGTAAATCACTTTCTTCTTACGCACCCATGCCGCATCAGACTCCTTTGCGAATGCTTGTAGTCGACAATAACGCGTCTTGGCAATATATGCCGACTGGAGCTTCTAACACTTTATATTCGTTGCAGCATCAGTTGATAACTCTGTGTACCACCCATGTTTTATTAGTGCCTTGACATCATCAATAGCACATGAAACTTCCTTAACAAGCATAAGGGGTATCAGCAAGCAGGGAATGCCTGACAGATTTCGTGAGTTGTCGCCTTATAATAGAAGAAACCTATGTCAGCAGAAATGACCGGTAATCCATTGTTAAAGTTAACGACGATACTTTTAATAGGAACGGATGAATGCTAAAGGCATATTGGTGAGGACGTTGACCGTGTCAGACTCGGCGGTATCCATGGCCACCATGAGGTGGAACGAGAGGGAATCGTTGCAGGGTTCTAAGAAACGTCTCTAGTTAGCGGATCGCCACTCGGATTTATGCCAGTTTTATTTTAATAATTCATGTAGCTGAGCCGTGACATTGGCTGACGCTGTGGGGAAATTCAACACGCAAGATGTACACCCTCGTTCTCAACCTTCACACCGGCGGAAGCACTGGCTACAGTGTTTGGACATAACGGGGCTGGTGCGATAACTCGGTTGCGGGCAAAATCGCATGAGGCGACGAAACAAGCCCCGGGGCAAGGAAAACCGTTAACGTTGAACATCTGTCCCAACCGCTTTGGAAACAACAGTAACATTGTAGAACGTATAAAACCTTGGCTAAACAGCTTGGATCAAATTGTCACTATAACGCATGTGATAGGACCTTCTTTGGTCCGCTGCGGTTACACAAAGCGTCCTAGTCAGTATAACAAATGCCAGTCTAGCGAGAATGAGGGTGTAGTACTGTCCTGACGACACCACGAGAGTGTCCCAGGAAATTCCTTGCCACGAAAAGTAGTCCAGCGAAGGGAACCTGCAACTTTTCATGTCCATGTCAGCAACATTTACCCACCAGCGCACCACCACGTCGACTAGTCAAAACATTCGCGGTGCAGCACATCTCGAAGATCCAAGGCACCAGCGACTTCCACGTCCCTCCCAACGTCAGAGATCTCCAGTCCAGGTTCCGAAAAGATTGCGCCAGGTGCAGTGCGCTGTGGTGAAAGCGAACAAGCACCACACAGCGCCATTACGGGCCAGAATGAGAGGTCACATCACATGAGCATTGATCAGCCGACATGGCGCGCCTCGATTGACCTTCCCTCTCTTCCTTTGGTGATGCAAATTCAACTGTGCACATTCTTATATATCACATCATATTTGTTTTCGATATTCAGCTCGATCTGAGCACTTTGTACTGATCTTTCAAACAGCAGCCATGGCCTCCGCACTCGCTGTTCGTCAGGTCCTCTCAGACCTCTCCTTCAGCTCTGCCGTCAGAGGCACCGAGCTCTCCACCCGCAGCCTCCCCGCCGTTTCCCAACTGGAAGCTCTCCGCGGCCTAGGCTGTCAGAATGTGATGTTTGTCTAGCCTGCAGTGGGGTACTCTATAGCGAGTATAGCCCAAATTAGGGTTTGTTATATGTACTTAACTGCCTGCTACTGCAACCCCTCTTTCCTGTTTCTATCATTCCTGCCTAGACTTTTTGACATGCTACCAGAGCAGGTCGACCCTCCTGGCTCGATCCTGTGGGTGGTCCCATCCGATGCTTCCGCTGCTGTCCTGCCTATCGCACGCCCTAAGCGCGCGATGTTTTCTGCTTGCCGAGCGCTCAGGGCGCGCGGCATTTTTTTCTTCCCGCCGCGCGCTCGGGGAGCGCGGCGGTTTCCTGCCCCGTCGACCCGCGCGTCGCCCCCCGTCTACGGTCGCGTCGCCCCCCGGGAGCCCGTCGCATCGCCTCGCAGACCCGCGCGTCGCCCCCGCTGCCCCGTCGTGGCGCCCTGAGGAGCCGCGCGCGCCCCCCGCTGCCTCGTCGCGGCGCCTTGGGGAGCCGCGCGCGGCCCCCCGCTGCCCCGTCGCGGCGCCCTGGGGAGCCGCGTGCGGCCCCCGCTGCCTCGTCGTGACGCCCTGGGGAGCCACGTGCGGCCCCCCGCTGCCCCGTCGCGGCGCCCTGGGGAGCCGCGCGCGGCCCCCGCTGCCCCGTCGCGGCGCCCTGGGGAGCCGCGCGCCGTCGCCCCCGCTGCTGCCCGTGCTCCTGCCCCGTGCTGCCTGTGTTAGGGTTTGGGGGTGGCGAGTATGGGGGTGACGGGTGTGTGCGCCATCCCCTGCTCCTCCTCCTCCTCCGTCTCCCACTACTGCAGCTGCCGCTTCGGGTCGCAGGGTCGCAGCTGGTATCACGGGATTATCTTTCCCGCCGACGCATGCATGATATTGACCACCTTTCTTAAAGGGTGGGGGGGGGGGGGGGGGGTAAGGAATTTTGCGTACTGAGGCACCCTATGCGCGTACAATTCCAATGTTCGGAGTTCTCAGGGCTCTCGCTAGGTTTTGGGGCTGTCTGACAGTACCCTGAAAAAAAATTCCCCCGTCTTATGCTCGGACGACGAAACTTCCGTAGTCTGCATTATAAGCTGGAATATTTTTCTCTAGTCTGATAACCAAGACGAAAAAAAAGTTCCTGTTAAAAGTCAACCTACTGTA